AAAGATCGAAGCCCGCCCAGGTCACCCGTTCCCGCACTGGGGCCCCTTCAGACTTCCTCCCCCCGAAATCGCCGGGGGTCCCTTGGGTTGAGTGCTTGCCGCTTTTTCCGCAGCGGAGTCGGCTTTTTCCCCCCTTTCCCCCCTCCCCAGGATGGGCCGCCTTTCTCCACCCGCCTTCCCGGATCCCCAATTTCCCCAAAAACCCCCCCCCCTTCCGCCACCCTCCACCCCCACCGCCACCTCTTCAGTGGGATCCCTCCCCCTCTTCCTCCCCCGTTCCCCCCCCCCCCCTCACCCACGCCCCCCCCTTCTCCGCCTCCCCCTTTCCCGTCCCGCGCACCGAGCCCGGGCGCCTCCTCTCCGCACCCTGCGCACAGCACCCCCCCATTCGCGGAGAGCACCCCGTCCTCCTCATGCAGCCCCGGGCTGTCCCGTCCATAAGCGTGCCGGAGGTAGAAGGTCGAGAGCACCCCCACGAACCGGCAACCACGCAGCTGGCGGGAAGCGCGTGAGCACATCTCACCGTGGCGTATTCTTGTATTATCGTCGAGTAGTACAGGTACTGCGTGGGGGTGGTACGTATTGCCGTATCACTAGCTCCGAGTAGAGGGGGCGTGCTGCAGTTAAGGGGAAACCTGGTAGCCCCGGGGCTAACCCTCGGAGAGTATTCTCGTATTACTAGCTCTGAGTAGAGGGTGCGTTCTGCTGCTCGTAGGGGAAACCCGGAGCGCGGAGCTACTCTATCCCTCGGAGACCCGTGTTATGGCCCTGCGACCGCGCACCCCCGGGGCTAGGGCTCTCTAGCCCGTAACCCGATGCCGATCATCCGGCCCGCCGCTGGGTGCGCTTCTGAGCCGTCCCCGGCCCTGGATGTGAGGTTACCGACTGCACTCCAAGTGCTCCAAGTGCGATCGCTCGCCGGCCGAACAGGTGTTCCCTGCTGTGGAAAAGAGCCAGCGATTGCGCGAAATCTCAGCTCTCGCCGCTTATCTAGATACGTAACACGTACTGCACTGTGCACGACTCTCCACCTCCTGCACGCAAATAGCTCTACGGACACATAGAGACACATAAAAACGAGCTCCCGCGCCATGTGTTTATTGGGCGGCGGCCACGGCAAGCCGTGCGCGCGACAGCTTTACGGCGTCCGCCCTGAGCTGGGTGAGGGCCCCCACCCCTCCCCGGGCGCGTGGGGGTCAGTGGTAGTGGAGCACGCCGTCGTCGAGGGGCGCCGCGAGCTGCACCTTGTCCTTGAAGTGGTCTTGGATGTGGATCTGCCACGGGTCTGCGGCGGAGCGGCTGGGCAGCTGGCGCGCGAAGCCGTCGAGCGCGCGCAAGAAGTAGGTTGGGGTGAAGCCCTCGACGAGGCGGCGGCGCGGCGCCGACACCTCCTCTGGCCGCAGGCGCGGCACGGCGACGGTGGCGCCTGAGCAGCACGGCGCTCAACGGA